TATATGATTTGCATATCAGAAAAAAGACGGATTTCTTAAAATTGTAAGTGTTCGAAATAAGAAGATAATATTTATATATAAGAATTATATTTATATATTTACAATAGATAAAAATTTGAAAATGTTTTAAATTAAAAGAATAAGATTATGAATATGTAAATATATAAATAAATATATAAAAAAAGGAGAATTAAAAATAAAATAAATGATTTCCTTTTATCATAGAATTAAATTAATGAGATTTAAGAAAAACAAATTTTTTTTTTGACATATTATTATTTGATTAAAATAAAGAAAAAAGAAAAATCCAATGAACTAAATTAAATCATTGTGCGATAAAATTTTTTGAGGAATTATTTTAAATGAGAAGAAAGAAATGGCATGAGAAAATAATTCAAGGATGAATAAATTTCAAAAATTACAAATTTTGAGTTTTTAAATTTTATCAAAAAATTTATTATTTAAAGAAATAAAATAAATAAATAAATATAAAGGATTGAAAAAAGGTTTAAAAAAGGAAAATTAAAGAACCTCTTAAAGAAAAATTTAAAGAAACAAAAAAAAGATTGAAAAAAATGAGATGAGAATGAGAGATAAAAAAAAAAAGAAAAAAAATTTTCTCATCCATTTTGAAACTATCAAAATCATTTTGATATTTTGAAAAAACATTGAACTGATAAAGATTACAAGAAAAAATTTGTTTTTGAATAGAAAGAATTTTTAAAAGAGAATCATTTAATTTTTAGGAACAGAAAAAAAAAATTTTTGATGTTTATTTTAAGCGGTTAAAAAATCCTGTTTTTAAAAATATTAAGATAAATTTTCAATTTATAACATGAATTTCAAATTTTCATCAAAATTTCAAGTTATTTTTAAAGAAACATCATCTGTTTCTATTCAGATCAGTGAGATTACTTATTGAAAACCAATTTTGAAAAATGAAGGACAATTAAGAAGAAAACTGTATTTTGAAAATAGAGAAGAAATAGATCTTAAAATAGAAAACAAATTACATATAAATATATGAAAAAGAAAAAGACAAAATAAAAGAACAGAAAAATAAAAGTTCCAATTTGTTTTGAGAGAGATAAAAATTTGAATCAAATCAATCTAAAATTGTTTACAACATGATAATTATAAAATATAATATATTTTTTAAAATAGAAATACAGAGAAATAGGGTTAGAAAATGAGATTTTTTTTATGAGAGAAAATCGCCCTCTCAGGAAAATTAAATCATGTAAAATGAAAAAATTAAAATGGAACATAAAAAGTTGGCCAAAAGAAAAAATGAAATCTAATTTCGAATAATTTTTTTAAATTATGAAAAATGTAGAATAGAGAAAAAAAAGAATATTAAATTTATTTTATCCATATCTATTTTCAAAAAACCATTAAACAGAAATTCGTTAAATATATATAAATAAAAAAAAAAAATAGGAAATTTTGTGTATATCTTATATAAATGAAAAAATAAAAAAATAAGTTTTTTAAAATCAATATATATATCCTTAATGGATAAATATTTCTTAAAAATCAGGATTTAATTTTAGTTATGCTTTAAATAATAAAAATTCTGTTTTTAATATAAATATGGACGTTTTATCTGAGTAATACAAAACAATTCCGTTTATTAAAAGATATGAAAAAGCATTTATTGGTTATATTTTGAAATTTATTTTTTTTTTTTTTTTTTAATACTGTTTCATTCTTGGCACATTTTTTAATAAAGGAAAATTATTTCATGGCATCCCAGCAGCAATCAAAATCAACAGTCTTTGCTAAATATTAAATGAAATATATAAATAGACACGAATAACTATTTATAATTATGTTATCTCTTCATAAAATAATTAAAGACTATCTGTTCACATTTTCGATATCCATAATTTTAGGAAAGAACCATTAATGTTAGGTTGCTCGTTAAACTTTCATTTAAGAAGAACGTTTTGAACCAATGCAATACAGTTAAATTCTATATCCTATTTATATTCCAATAGCTATATATCGGGGAATTTGTCTCTTCATAAATCTGTTTCTGTATTTAAAATAAAAATATAATAGAAAATAGAAATTAAACATTAATTTGACCTCATATTATATTTTTTTATAATATAAAATAATAGATATGAAAATTTATATAAACTGTTTATAAATTCGTGATCAAATCTTAAATGCCGTTTTAACGTGGGATCTTTCTGAGTGAAAATTAGTTTTCAGAAAAAAAATATTTTTTGAACCCGAATAAATCAGATAAAAAAATATAAACTTCACCCCGAAAGAGAATCCTTTTTTCGATGGCATTCTAAATTCAGGTTCCTAAAGAAATAAAGGCAAAACTTTTCAATTAATAGCCGGCGAATACGGAGATCGAAAAAAAATTTAAAAAAGAATACTATTGTTAAATTTAAATATTCACAAATAAATATCCAAAATCAATAGAGTTGTGAAGAAACAATTCAGTGTGTTGCAAAATTGGCAATTGTTAGATTAACCATGCAGTTTCAAATCTTAGAAATGATTAAAGATATCTTAAAAGAATTCTTTTTTTGACAAAAACGATTTTATGTCTGTCATATTTCTAACGAATTTAATATTGTTACTTTAAAAAACACAATTGTAATTATTTGTAGACCAAATTTTTAAAACAATTTTCTGAAAGAAAATTTGAAAATTTATATCCAAATATATATATTTATATATTATATATTTATAATATATATCAATACAATATGAACTAAATCAGAAGAGTTGTTTTATTGAATTTAAATCTTGAAAATTCAATGGTTCACTTCATTAACCAGTGTTCAACAAGAAATTATAATTCATTTCTTTTATTTAAAAGATGTGAACAAAAACAATTCAAAACCGCTACGATAATTTATAAGTAATTATTTAAAAATTGGATAGCATCTGAAGATTCAATAAATTCAAAAACATGAAATATTCTTTTTTAAATGTTTGATGTGGATGTTGAAAAGAATATCCTATTTTGTGGAGAAAAGTTATATATATATAATATATATATAATATATATATAATATAAATAAGAAGAGGGTTTAGAGATAACTAGGAGACATGAATAGTTTTTTAGATGTTTAATAGATAGGGAATATAATAATTGAGTTTTTTTACACCAATGAATTTTGGACAGCGGTGAATATTGACGAATGATCAAGAAAGCCGAGTCAAATAAAAAATTTCCAATCGGATCCCTGTCCTGGGTTCAAAAAACGAAATTAAAATACAGCAATTCTGTTTGTGTAAAAATTGTTTTCACAAATCCCCAGTTATGGAAAAATAGCATTTTAATAAAACTCTTCTACCACTATGAAATTTAACGCCTCTCAAGAAGGGGAAAAGCCGAGCTTCTCCACTTGACGTGGTCGAATATTAAATGATCTGAGCAAAGCGTATATTAGAAAGGAACCTCTTATATATATATCCGCCGAATATATATATATATATATATATATATATAATGTGAAAAAGTTTATACAGGTTTTCTCATCATTTGGGGCCTTACTACAGAATGAACTCGTTAAACTCGGCCCCCACATACAACGCCTCTGGGGGAGAGAGGGTCGAATCAAGCCGAGCTTCTCGGCTTGACGGTCGAACTCTCTGCCTCTGAGCAGAGAGGAACCCGGACGAGGCTCCGCCGAAGGGCAGAGTCTCGTTCGGGGAGGTTGACCAACCCGATCCCGTTTATACGGGTTCTACGGGCATTTTTTGGCCGAGCCTACGGGCTCGGGAAACCCACGTTAAACTCGGCCTTGTGCCACATGCAACCCTCGTGGGGGGGTGGCTAGATACCGAATCGAGTCGAGCCGATAGTAGTTCACTCCAAACCAGACTGACAGTCATACTAACACCTTCCACATCTTGTATTATTATTTCGTGTAATATACCTTCGTTATTTCTACTCTTGTGTTCGTGTTGTTCTTCCTTGGTCCTAACCTGGACCATAACATTTACGTTATATGGAAAAATCCACAAATGAATTTTCATTAATCTGTATAATTCTAGTCAGACCAGTTAAATCATTTTTACTCAAACTGATATAACTTTCAATTTTATATATTTATAACTATATATTCAATTTGTGTGTGTGTGTGTGTGTAATTCTAGAAACATATCATATCTGTTGCGTTTTTGATGAAAATTTTTATTGTAAACAATTTTATAATTTTAAATTTTCATAGATTTTAATATTCATTTGTTTTTATTGTTTTTTTTTGAAATTTAAAAAATTAAAAATTTAAATAGGTTAAACATATTTTTAAATATTAGAAGTAGCTAAGAAAATGTTAAAGAAAATTAGATTATAATGATAAAACATACTTTTAAAACAAATTTTAAATTCAACAGAAAATTAAACAAATTTCAAAAGAATTTCATCTTTTATGATTGAGGACAAATCTAACCCTTGATATAAACAAATGCAAAAACATTTCAAATATTTAAAAATATTCAAACAATATAAACATTTTCCGTTGAAATAAAATATTTTTATAACATTTTTTTTTCCCCGAAAACTTCATTCCTTGAATCAAATAAATTCTCATCTTGCCTTCTTCATCAGACGAACGTATCTTAAAAAAAAATGCCGAACACAAACAGGCGTTCTCTTCATCGTCTTTCGGCCCTTGGATAAGAACGTTTTTATTGCCTTTGCATTATTGTTCCCATTTGTTCCCAGAGGAAAACGTTCAAAACTAAAATCCTCCCCTTTTAGAAACGCAAATGTAAAAATTGTTGAATTAAATTCTTACCAAAAAAACTGGAAAATATTTTATGTGTCGGTTTATAAAAAAAAAAAAAAAACCCGATATAATGATGACGAATACCTGTTGAAAAGCAACAAAATAAAAGACAATAAACTTGAAGATTTGAAGATTTGTCTAAAAAGAAAAATCATGAGAAAGGTTTAAATAGACTTGTTAAATGGATAATACATAATAGATAAAAATGATAGATTGAAACGTATTAAATAGATTTCAAAAAAATTTTAGATTATTATTATAGATAGATAGAAAGAAAAGAGAGAGAAAAAGAAAATTTATAGGTTTAAACCAAATTCTTATTTCATAGATAGATAGATAGAAATTTAGATAGATAAATGCAAAGGGACAAATATATAGGTTCAAACCAAATTGGTTGAGGGATGATAGATATAATAAATAAAATTTTACTGAAGTATTAAACACACACAAATGTGAACATCAAGACAAAGACAAAACAGTTAGAGAAGAGAAAGAAAAAGAGAGATATGTTTAAACCAAAAATTTAAATAAAGATGAAAAGATAATAGATAGATTTAAACTGAATTAGTTTTTATTTTTAAACAAATTGAGCTGGTATAGATAGATAAATAAACAAGAGACACGTTCGAGAGAAAGATATATAGGTTAATTCAAATTGGTTCAAGATAGATAAATTAATAAAGATAGAAAGAATAGATATGATATTTAAGACTGAGGATATATAAAATTATATATATATATATATATATATATATATATATATATATATATATATATAGATAGATCGGAATAGAATATATTTTATGTTATTTTTAAAATGATCATTGAGAGTTTTTAATTTCAAACTAAAGTAATGGGCATGGCAGTTTCAGTGATATCATTAAGGTGAAAATGTAAAATCTTTGGTATTGGCACTAACGGGTCCCCACTTTTTTTTTCCATCATTTTTTTAAAATGCAGGGAGATTGACAGGAACGACAGGTTTTAAAACAATCATTTGGTGTGTTATAAGGGGAAACATTCATGAATTGTCTGAGAATGGCCTCGACAATATTGCAAATATATATAAATTTTCTGTTTTCCATTCTGTTATATCCTATCGGTTACATTGAAAGCCACCTACACGATGGTCAAGTCCCGGTTTCAAAACATCTGTAAGAAAGGTTTGGACAATAATTTAAAACAAAGCCACGTGCTGTTATCGAAAAATTGGTTTATAAAATTATGATCATGTCATCCTAAAACTGCAGCAATAAAATATTTGAAAATTTCAATTATATTATTTTTTAACGATGTCCAAACGATGACAGAAGAAATGAAATGTATTTATGTAAAAATATTTTAAAACAGAAATAAATGGTAATATAAAGTTATAAAAAAACAACTTAAAGATTCAAAATTCTAGTCTATTCATTCTATCAAATTTTAATGAGGATATATCCGAAATATTAGATAAATCTTAAATTATATAATCTTTTTCTAATTATAAATATTATATGTAAGTTTTTATTAATCGGAATTTTCTTTTTAACAAAATAATGTAAAAAATAAAGTCTATATCAAATAACATTCTTCCAAGACACGGACACAAAATGACACAAACTGAAACACTGAAAACAAATAAAATATATATATATATATAAAAATATATATATATATATATATTATATCTACAAATATATACATAAAAAAAATATATTAATAACATTCAAAGAAAATTTAGATTTAAAATTCAAAACTAAAAATATGTGCAAGACATACAAAAATTGATGGAAATATATTATATCCACACATAAATTGGCGTAATCCCTGTCAATTCTCAATTAAATTTTACAAATTTCATTTGTATATATATATATATAAATATATATATATATATATATAGAATGAATATATATATATTCAAATTAAAAAATGGAAAAATTAATGAAAATAATAAACAATCTAAATACATCTTTTTGCAGAATATTTAATCAAAGGATTAATACCTAAAAAGTTAAATATATATTTTATATTTCTAATTGTATTTATCTTTCTGATCTATGTCATTTTAGGGAAAAAATATCGAACATGAATAAGAGAAAAATTAAATTCTTTTGATATAAATATATATATATATATATATATATATATATATATATTATATATATATATATATAGTTATTGTTTCAATTCAATTAAAAGATTTCAAAATTTCTTAAAAATTTAAGGAAATAGTGAAAAAATGGATATATACATTTATAAACACATATATGTTTATCGTCTCTATTTACACAAGAACAAATAATATAAACTGAAAATATATAGAATTTATATATATATATATATTCAAATGAAGGTTTTATTTTTTGAAGGGTTTTTTGGATGATTTCATTTTTTTTTTAAAGAAAAATTTTAAAAATATTTCATCTATCAAGTCTACGTTTCATAATAAATAAATATCTATCTAATTGTCTAAATAATATTTCTATCTATCTATCTAAATTTTCCTATATATATATATAAATAGTTGTTTCAATCTTTGTTTATCTTTGATTAATTAATTTTTGATAACAATTTTTCGTTTTTTTAAAAAATGAAAAAGAAAGAAAAGAACCAGAATGATTATTTAAAGAAAAAAAACGTTAATATCATTTCTTTTGGAAAGACGCCATAAAGAAAAAATAAAACAACAAATCAAAAAGAATAAAACCGGCAGTCTTTTCACAGAAAAACAAAGGAAAAATAGAAAATTCTAACATTCAAAAACAAATAATTGAAAAAAATCTTTTCTTTTTGAAATTAAAAAAAAGAAGAAATGTAAATAAATTAGTTCACAAAAGAAAGAGAAAAACTGAAAAATAGAAAGGAGGTATCTGAATGGGCAACTTTCAAAGGTTAACTAAATTTCAATAAAAAAAAATATTTTCTTAATAAAACAAAGAAATTTAAATTTCAAAGTAATTAAAAAAAGATTTTCCGAAAAAATATATTTTCTATGATGGAGGTTTGAATAAAGGAAAACATACAAGTAAAATGGAAGTCAACAGAATAAAAAATGTCAAAAATGACAAAAAATAAAAAATTTTCGTCGGATATATTTCTAAAAAAAATCTATAAAACATCATTCCATCTTAGTCAGCGGTAAAAAAAAAAATGTTTGGAAAAAAAATATAAAAGACTAAAAGTGTAAATCATATAAAGAATCAAAAAAAATATATCATATATATAAAATATATATAAATTATTCGCGCGTATTGGAAGAAATGGATATGGTAAAGGGATATATTAATGGATAAAGTAATGTTGTCTAAATATATGATAATATACTGATATTTATATATATATTTATATAGGAATATGAATATATATATAGGGAAATATTTGGGGAAGATGGGGTTCAAAAATTAATTATAATTTAAAATAAAAATAAATTCATTCAAATTTCATTAAAATTTGGGAAATATATGACGAAATATATATATAAATATAAATATTTAAATAAATATATTTATATATATGCATATATAAATATATAGTATAATATATATATATACAAATATAAATATATTTATAATGGGAAAATATAGATTTTTTTAAAAATAATATTGTGATCAAAAATATAACGCAATCACAATATATATATATATAAATATATATATATATATATATATAAATATATTTATATATATATATTATTATATATAAAAATATAAATTGATATAAATTATGTGTGTAAATGTGTGTGTGCATGTGTATGTATGATCAAATATAGTTTTAAGATATGCTATGTTTATTATTAAAGTAAAAAATATCAGGAATAAATGTATCTTTTGAGTCAGATATATATATATATATTATATATATATATTATATATATAATAATTTATATATATGAAAAATATTTATATATATAAATATATATATATATATATATATAATATAATACCATATTCCTCATATATACGAAAATATATATATATATATCTGTATGTATATATATATATATATATATATTTAAAAAATATAGTTAAATATATTAAAATGATAAAATATAGTCGTATATATATATATATATATTATAAATTTATTGATTTAAAATATTTTTTTCCAGCATTTTTATTTTAACCAAAATGTTCTTTCTTTTTATTTAAATACATACATACGTACATATATATATATATATATATATATATATATATATATATATAGATATGAGATAGATGTTGATCAAAAATAGTGGAAAGGTAGGCTATATTTATAAATTAAATTGCACCCATATCAGGAAAGTGCGTATACAACTATACTATACTATATATATATATATATATATATATATATATATATATATATATATATATATAAAGAAGTTTTGAGGTCAATCTGAAATATCAAATATATATATAAATAAATAAATACTTTCATAAAAAAAAATTATTATTTTTTTAATTTAAAAAACTTTTTTATATATATATATATATATATATATATATATATATATATATATATATATATATATATATATATTATAATTTTTGAAGCAATACCTGTGTGTTTTACAATTTTCATTATTTGTGTTGTGAAATGTGTAAAAAATTTAGTTTCTTTATTCAAATTTGATTGCGTTTGTATGTTTCCTTTCTGAACATAAGCTGTGTAAAAATATTCAATATGTCCGAGCGCTTTTGTTGTTTGATTAGTCATTTTATATATATATATATATATATATATATATATATATTATTTTATCAAAAAGTTTTATTAAATATCCCATTTTTCTATTGTTGATGTTATTTTATCAGAAACCACTTCCGATCTATATTTGATCTGAATTTCATCTTTAATACATATATGTGTATCTATATTAGTGGGAATCTTTTTTTTTTATTATGTAAACACGATCTGAATATTTATTTGACGTGTTGATATATTATAAAATTTGAACCTTTTTTTTTTTTATTATTGTTGTTGCCATTATTTTAGCCTATTTATTATAAATAGTCTTTTATAGTCCTCATATATATTTTATACTTCAGGGCATATATTATATATATATATATATATATATATATATATATATAAATGTGTATATATATATAGATTTACAAAACACACATATATGTGTTTAATCTGAATTCTCTCTTTCTCTCTATATATATGTTATCTATATATATATATATATATATATATTATCACTTTTTTTGTTTCTTTAAGTCTGTGTGTTACACATATTTTATACCATATATCCGAAAACAAATGTGAAATTTATGAGAGAAATTCAAAAAATTATACACGAAGCGTTTTACCGAAAAAACACGAATATATATATGTTTGTGTGTGTGTTTGTGTTTGTGTGTGTGTGTGTGTGTGTGGATATATTTATAAACATATAACTATATCTTTGTAACACGTATATTATCCGAAACAAATGTCTAGGGGTAATTGTAAA